TTTTGCGCCCGGCTTAATTCCTTTTGCGCCCGGCGCAATATAACTGGCAGAGATGAAATACTCTGTTTTTGTCACGCCCAGCGCAGGTTATATTGAGCCCGGCGCAGAACCTCTTCTCTGCTCCTTAGCTTCTTAGGTTTCCAATCCTAAGAGTCTTCAACTTTCCACTCTTCCTCAATACCTGCACAAAAAATGAGGTGGATTAAGGTATTGTTAGATGAATTTGGGTTAGTTATATCTGCACACAAAATGAACCAAAAAGAGAACAATTATATTGCAATGGTTCAAAGGATGAGTGGAATTTGTTCAATAAGTCTCATCCAAAAAGAGGTAAAATTGAGACTTAACATAGTGTACAGAGAGCTGAGACTCAGAGGGGTGACAGACCCACTATAGCTGGTAGGGTGTTTTCTTTGACGGGTGCTGAGGCTTCGACTTCTTCTGATATAGTGAAGGGGAAGGGCAAGGCTGCCGGTAAGAATGTGATATTTTTGTTTGACTCTGGGGCTTCCCATTCATTTATTTCCTATGCTTGTGTTGCTGTACTGGGTATGTCTGTGTGTGACTTGGGGTTGAGACTGCTAGTGTCGACGCCCGCATCTTCTTCAGTAGTTGCTTCTGAGCTGTGTGCTAACTGTCCTGTTGTTGTGAATGGGAAGAAGTACAAGGTAAATTTGATTTGTTTGCCTTTGGTTGATATTGACATAATCTTAGGGATGGATTGGTTATCTGCCAATCGTATCCTTATAGATTGTGCCAATAGACGGTTGATCTTTCCCAAAGAGGAGGATGAATTGTTGATTTCAGCTGGCCAAGCTGAATCTTTGCTGAGAGATGGAGCGGAGTGTTGCCTCCTGCTGGCTGCTATGAGCGTGGAGACTGAGAGGGTTATTTCTTAGATAGATGTGGTGAGAGATTTTGCTGAGGTGTTTCCCGATGACGTGCCTGGGTTGCCTCCTGTTAGGGAAATGGAGTTTAGCATTGACTTGGTTCCAGGTGCGGGGCCAGTGTCAGTGGCTCCCTATAGGATGACTCCTGCCGAGCTGATTGAGTTGAAAAGTCAGTTGGAAGACCTATTGAAGAAGCAGTTGGTGCGGTCGAGTGTTTCACCGTGGGGTGCCCCTGTATTGTTGGTGAAGAAGAAGGATGGGGGTAGTCGACTTTGTGTAGATTTCCAGCAGTTGACCATTAAGAACAAATATCTCCTCTTCCCCGGATAGATGACTTGATGGATTAGTTGAGGGGAGCATCGGTGTTTTCTAAGATCGATTTGAGGTCAGGTTATCACCAGATTAGGGTGAGGGAGGGTGACATACCAAAGACTGCTTTCAGGACGAGGTATGGTCACTATGAGTATGTCGTGATGCCGTTTGGTATGACCAATGCCCCTGCAGTGTTCATGGATTACATGAACAGGATCTTCCGGCCGTTCTTGGATAAATTCGTAGTGGTGTTCATTGATGATATTTTGATTTATTCAAGAACCCAAGAAGAGCATGAAGAGCACTTGAGGGTGGTGCTGGAGATTTTGAAGGCGAAGCAGCTGTATGCTAAGCTTTCAAAATGTGAGTTCTGGTTGGATGAAGTGTAGTTCTTGGGTCACGTGATTTCAGCTGAGGGGATTGTTGTTGATCCGGCTAAGGTGGAGTCGGTGTTACAGTGGGAACGTCCGAGGACTGTCACTGACATTTGGAGCTTTATGGGTTTGGCGGGTTACTATCGACGGTTCATTGAGGGGTTCTCCAAAATAGGAGCGCCTCTAACCCAGCTGACGAGGAAGGAGCAGCCGTTCATTCGGAAAGATGCCTGTGAGCGGAGTTTTGAGCCGTTGAAGAGGAGGTTGACTACTTCTCCTGTGTTGGGGTTGCCGGATTCTAGTGAGCTCTTTGAGGTGTATTGTGATGCTTCTCACCAGGGTCTTGGGTGTGTGCTGATGCAACACGGGAAGGTGATGGCCTATGCTTCAAGGCAACTGAAGAACCATGAGAGGAATTCTCCCACTCATGAATTGGAGTTGGCAGCGGTTGTTTTTGCCTTGAAGATATGGCGACACTATTTGTATGGTGCTCGGTTCAGCGTCTTTAGTGATCATAAGAGTCTGAAGTATCTGTTTGATCAGAAGGAGCTGAACATGAGGCAGAGACGGTGGAGGAGTTTCTGAAGGACTATGACTTCCAGTTGATGTATCATCCTGGTAAGGCCAATGTTGTGGCGGACGCGTTGAGTAGGAAATCCATCCACATGTCGAGTATGATGGTGAGGGAGTTGGAACTGATTGAGAAATTCAGAGATTTGAACCTCGGTGTGGAGTTAGCTCAGGATCACATTAGTTGTGGGACGGTTCCCATAGCTAATGAGTTCTGGAGGCAGGTTGGTCTTAAGCAGTTGCAAGACGCTGAGTTGGTGAAGCTCCTTGGGTTGCTGGGTACCGAAAAGGCTGTTGGCTTCGAACTGGGAGAAGATGGAATCTTGAGGTTCAAGGGCAGAGTTTGCCTACCTCAGGATGCTGACCTGAAGAAAGTTATGTTGGAAGAAGGCCACAAGAGTAAACTTAGCATACATCCGGGTATAACTAAGATGTACCAAGACCTCAGGAAGACTTTCTGGTGGCCTGGCATGAAGAGGGAGATAACTGAGTATGTGGCGGAAGAGGGAGATAACCGAGTGGGTTGATGCAGCAGATGGAGATTCCGGAGTGGAAGTGGGATAGCATTACCATGGATTTCATTGTTGGGTTATCTAGGTCAGCTAGGAATAGTGATGCTATCTGGGTGATTGTAGACCGGTTGACCAAGTGCGCACACTTCTTTCCTGTCAACATCAAGTGGTCCTTGGAGAAGCTGACGCAGTTGTATGTGAGGGAAATAGTACGGTTGCACGGGGTGCCTTCCAGTATTATTTTAGACAGAGATCCGAGGTTCACTTCCAGATTTTGGCAGAGTCTACACCAAGCCTTAGACACGAAGTTGAAGTTGAGCTCTGCTTATCATCCACAGACGGATGGTCAGTCAGAAAGGACAATCCAGTCCTTGGAGGATCTTCTTAGGGCTTGTGTGTTAGACCACTTGGGTAGCTGGGAGGAGATCCTACCGTTGGTTGAGTTCACCTACAACAACAGTTTTCATGCAAGCATTGGGATGGCACAATTTGAAGCGTTGTATGGTAGAAGATGTAGGACTCCTCTGTGCTGGTACCAGGATGGTGAGTCAGTGGTGGTAGGTCCGGAGCTAATCCTACAAACTACTGAGAAAGTGAAGATGATTCAGGAAAGGATGAAGACTGCTCAGAGTAGGCAGAAGTTGTATGCTGACAAGAGGAGGAAGCCTTTGGAGTTTGCCGAAGGGGAGCATGTGTTTCTGAAGGTGACTTCGACTTCTAGTGTGGGTAGAGCACTGAAAGCTAGAAAGTTGACACCGAGGTTCGTGGATCCCTACCAGGTCATACAGCGTGTGGGTCCGGTTGTCTATCGGTTGGCTTTGCCACCGTCTCTTTCAAACCTGCACGATGTGTTTCATGTCTCCTAGCTGAGGAAGTACGTCCATGACCCGAGCCATGTGATGGAGTTAGATGATGTGCAGGTGAAGGAGAACCTGACTTTTGAGAAGTTGCCAGTAGCTGTAGTTGATCATAAGCTGAAGGAGTTGCGGGGCAAGTCCATTGCTCTGGTGAAGGTGTTGTGGGATGCAGCTACTGGTGAAGCTACTTGGGAAGTGGAGCAACAGTTCAGGGAGCGGTACCCATTTCTTTCCCAAGTAAGTCTATTTTCGGGGACGAAAACTCTTGTTGTTGGGGAGGTTGTGAGCCCCTATTTCATATTTTTCCTTCCCCGACACTCTCATCTCACTCTCAATCTTCACTCTTTTACCTTGGTTCTTTCTTCTGGCTACTACAAGGTGGTGGAGGGGTGTCACTCGAATTGCTAGCTGGTGTTGGATTCCTCTTCTCCTTTCTCCTTCATTCAAGCCCACTTCGTACTCTCTTCTTCTCCATTTCTCTATCCCGAAGCTCGGATCTTTGGCCCGAGGTAAGGGAAGTTAGGTTTGTTGTTAATTTTGGTTGAAAATAGGTTGTTGCAAACTCGGTAGCTGTTGAAGTTGGTCGATGTTTGATGAATTTGTTAAAATGTTGAAATTGGAAGTTTTGGGGTTCTTTGAAGGTTTGACCAAATTTTGGGCCTTTTTGATGGTTTTGTTGTTGCATGTTGAAAAAGGTAGTGTTTTTGGACTCTGGGATGAAAATGTAGTAATTTGAACCGATTGCATGTGGAATTTTTCTGATTATTTTGCAAATTGTTGGAGAGTTTTCGAAAATATGAGGTTTACTGCTGAACTCGCGCTGGGCGCAGTTCTTCGCGACGGGCGCGTGGCCATCTAAGGGCAGCATTTAGGCAATCCGCCGGGCGCAAAGATGTGTGCGCCGGGCGGGCTTGGAGATGTTAGCCTCTAGATGGCCCACGCCGAGCGTAGGTTGAACCGCGCCGGGCGCAATTCAGATTTGTGCTGGGCGCGAGACCAAGGGAGGTCTCTGCCTTTCCCACGCTGGGCGTGAGTTTGGGAACGCCGGGCGCGAGAGACTCCTTGGAGTCTCTGTTTAGCATGCGTTGGGCGCAATTAGTTATTGCGCCAAGCGCGTGAGAGCTTTGGGCTCTTTGGTTGAGTCCCGCCGGGCGCGGGAATGCTTGCGCCGGGCGCTCTGGCCCCTGGTGCCCTTTTGGTTGAACTGCACTGGGCGCAACCATGAGTGCGCCGGGCGCATAGATGATAATTCATTATATGCTGAGTTGAGTTGAAATGGACGAATATGATGCGATGATTAGTAGATAATATTGTTGCTGGATATGTTGAGTTGTATTAGTTGTACATTGTTGTAAGATGATATGTTGAGCTGTACAGTTGTGTTGTACTGTGTGATGATATTGGATGTTGTAGGCTGTAAGGCTGAGGTGTTGTTGGCCGAAAGGCTGAGGTGTTGTAAGCCGAAAGGCTAAGGTGATGTAGGCCGAAAGGCTGAGTTGTTGTAGGAGATCTCCGAGGTGATATGCGTGACGACGCATTGTGTGTGTATCGGTAAATTGTGTTGTAAAACTGACAGGATGTTTATTGATGAATTGTTGGTGGTTGTAATTGTTGTTATTGCTTAAAATTTTCCTATATGTTGTCCTTTTTATGCTAGCTTACCCTTTTTGTTGTTTCCATGTGTTTGGACTGCGATGATCATACTATGTATGGATGCAGAGCAGGGTTAGATGGTGGCCAGTGGGGAGTTTGCAGCTGGTAGGCGGGACTCACTCTTGTCGATGTTTGGTTTTGTTTTGTTTCAGCCACTTGGCATAGTGGCTTTGGATGTATCTTTTTGTATTGGTCACCCTAACTCTAGTCGAATTTGGGACATCTGTATATATTTATATTCTAGATCCTATATATATATACTCGTTCTATTCTGCCTAGTGTTTCCGGTGTGTTATGGTTGTGAATGTAGAGACCAGCCGGGTCGTTACAATTACACAACAACACAATAACACAATAACACAATAACAATGGTATTGAAAATAATAATATGATGGTAGTGTAAATAATGATAGTGACAATAATAATAATAAGGTGACATCATTACTATCATTACTATCGTTGTCCTTGTTATTACTATTATTTTCACTATCTTACCACCTTTATCATTATTATTATTATTATTATTCTTATTATTATTATTATTATTATTATTATTATATCACATGTTGCATACTTACAGACTACATCACCTAAACCTTAAAACTAAAACTAGCTACAATTATTGAAGGTGTTGAACCCGCGGCTGGTGATGCATGGTGATTCTTTTTAGAAAAAACAATAGTTTTATACCTTTTTACGTGTCAACAAGACTAATATAAATATTACAAAAC